ATGAGAGGGATGGGAGATGAGAGGGATGGGAGATGAGAGGGATGGGAGATGAGAGGGATGGGAGATGAGAGGGATGGGAGATGAGAGGGATGGGAGATGAGAGGGATGGGAGATGAGAGGGATGGGAGATGAGAGGGATGGGAGATGAGAGGGATGGGAGATGAGAGGGATGGGAGATGAGAGGGATGGGAGATGAGAGGGATGGGAGATGAGAGGGATGGGAGATGAGAGGGATGGGAGATGAGAGGGATGGGAGATGAGAGGGATGGGAGATGAGAGGGATGGGAGATGAGAGGGATGGGAGATGAGAGGGATGGGAGATGAGAGGGATGGGAGATGAGAGGGATGGGAGATGAGAGGGATGGGAGATGAGAGGGATGGGAGATGAGAGGGATGGGAGATGAGAGGGATGGGAGATGAGAGGGATGGGAGATGAGAGGGATGGGAGATGAGAGGGATGGGAGATGAGAGGGATGGGAGATGAGAGGGATGGGAGATGAGAGGGATGGGAGATGAGAGGGATGGGAGATGAGAGGGATGGGAGATGAGAGGGATGGGAGATGAGAGGGATGGGAGATGAGAGGGATGGGAGATGAGAGGGATGGGAGATGAGAGGGATGGGAGATGAGAGGGATGGGAGATGAGAGGGATGGGAGATGAGAGGGATGGGAGATGAGAGGGATGGGAGATGAGAGGGATGGGAGATGAGAGGGATGGGAGATGAGAGGGATGGGAGATGAGAGGGATGGGAGATGAGAGGGATGGGAGATGAGAGGGATGGGAGATGAGAGGGATGGGAGATGAGAGGGATGGGAGATGAGAGGGATGGGAGATGAGAGGGATGGGAGATGAGAGGGATGGGAGATGAGAGGGATGGGAGATGAGAGGGATGGGAGATGAGAGGGATGGGAGATGAGAGGGATGGGAGATGAGAGGGATGGGAGATGAGAGGGATGGGAGATGAGAGGGATGGGAGATGAGAGGGATGGGAGATGAGAGGGATGGGAGATGAGAGGGATGGGAGATGAGAGGGATGGGAGATGAGAGGGATGGGAGATGAGAGGGATGGGAGATGAGAGGGATGGGAGATGAGAGGGATGGGAGATGAGAGGGATGGGAGATGAGAGGGATGGGAGATGAGAGGGATGGGAGATGAGAGGGATGGGAGATGAGAGGGATGGGAGATGAGAGGGATGGGAGATGAGAGGGATGGGAGATGAGAGGGATGGGAGATGAGAGGGATGGGAGATGAGAGGGATGGGAGATGAGAGGGATGGGAGATGAGAGGGATGGGAGATGAGAGGGATGGGAGATGAGAGGGATGGGAGATGAGAGGGATGGGAGATGAGAGGGATGGGAGATGAGAGGGATGGGAGATGAGAGGGATGGGAGATGAGAGGGATGGGAGATGAGAGGGATGGGAGATGAGAGGGATGGGAGATGAGAGGGATGGGAGATGAGAGGGATGGGAGATGAGAGGGATGGGAGATGAGAGGGATGGGAGATGAGAGGGATGGGAGATGAGAGGGATGGGAGATGAGAGGGATGGGAGATGAGAGGGATGGGAGATGAGAGGGATGGGAGATGAGAGGGATGGGAGATGAGAGGGATGGGAGATGAGAGGGATGGGAGATGAGAGGGATGGGAGATGAGAGGGATGGGAGATGAGAGGGATGGGAGATGAGAGGGATGGGAGATGAGAGGGATGGGAGATGAGAGGGATGGGAGATGAGAGGGATGGGAGATGAGAGGGATGGGAGATGAGAGGGATGGGAGATGAGAGGGATGGGAGATGAGAGGGATGGGAGATGAGAGGGATGGGAGATGAGAGGGATGGGAGATGAGAGGGATGGGAGATGAGAGGGATGGGAGATGAGAGGGATGGGAGATGAGAGGGATGGGAGATGAGAGGGATGGGAGATGAGAGGGATGGGAGATGAGAGGGATGGGAGATGAGAGGGATGGGAGATGAGAGGGATGGGAGATGAGAGGGATGGGAGATGAGAGGGATGGGAGATGAGAGGGATGGGAGATGAGAGGGATGGGAGATGAGAGGGATGGGAGATGAGAGGGATGGGAGATGAGAGGGATGGGAGATGAGAGGGATGGGAGATGAGAGGGATGGGAGATGAGAGGGATGGGAGATGAGAGGGATGGGAGATGAGAGGGATGGGAGATGAGAGGGATGGGAGATGAGAGGGATGGGAGATGAGAGGGATGGGAGATGAGAGGGATGGGAGATGAGAGGGATGGGAGATGAGAGGGATGGGAGATGAGAGGGATGGGAGATGAGAGGGATGGGAGATGAGAGGGATGGGAGATGAGAGGGATGGGAGATGAGAGGGATGGGAGATGAGAGGGATGGGAGATGAGAGGGATGGGAGATGAGAGGGATGGGAGATGAGAGGGATGGGAGATGAGAGGGATGGGAGATGAGAGGGATGGGAGATGAGAGGGATGGGAGATGAGAGGGATGGGAGATGAGAGGGATGGGAGATGAGAGGGATGGGAGATGAGAGGGATGGGAGATGAGAGGGATGGGAGATGAGAGGGATGGGAGATGAGAGGGATGGGAGATGAGAGGGATGGGAGATGAGAGGGATGGGAGATGAGAGGGATGGGAGATGAGAGGGATGGGAGATGAGAGGGATGGGAGATGAGAGGGATGGGAGATGAGAGGGATGGGAGATGAGAGGGATGGGAGATGAGAGGGATGGGAGATGAGAGGGATGGGAGATGAGAGGGATGGGAGATGAGAGGGATGGGAGATGAGAGGGATGGGAGATGAGAGGGATGGGAGATGAGAGGGATGGGAGATGAGAGGGATGGGAGATGAGAGGGATGGGAGATGAGAGGGATGGGAGATGAGAGGGATGGGAGATGAGAGGGATGGGAGATGAGAGGGATGGGAGATGAGAGGGATGGGAGATGAGAGGGATGGGAGATGAGAGGATGGGAGATGAGAGGGATGGGAGATGAGAGGGATGGGAGATGAGAGGGATGGGAGATGAGAGGGATGGGAGATGAGAGGGATGGGAGATGAGAGGGATGGGAGATGAGAGGGATGGGAGATGAGAGGGATGGGAGATGAGAGGGATGGGAGATGAGAGGGATGGGAGATGAGAGGGATGGGAGATGAGAGGGATGGGAGATGAGAGGGATGGGAGATGAGAGGGATGGGAGATGAGAGGGATGGGAGATGAGAGGGATGGGAGATGAGAGGGATGGGAGATGAGAGGGATGGGAGATGAGAGGGATGGGAGATGAGAGGGATGGGAGATGAGAGGGATGGGAGATGAGAGGGATGGGAGATGAGAGGGATGGGAGATGAGAGGGATGGGAGATGAGAGGGATGGGAGATGAGAGGGATGGGAGATGAGAGGGATGGGAGATGAGAGGGATGGGAGATGAGAGGGATGGGAGATGAGAGGGATGGGAGATGAGAGGGATGGGAGATGAGAGGGATGGGAGATGAGAGGGATGGGAGATGAGAGGGATGGGAGATGAGAGGGATGGGAGATGAGAGGGATGGGAGATGAGAGGGATGGGAGATGAGAGGGATGGGAGATGAGAGGGATGGGAGATGAGAGGGATGGGAGATGAGAGGGATGGGAGATGAGAGGGATGGGAGATGAGAGGGATGGGAGATGAGAGGGATGGGAGATGAGAGGGATGGGAGATGAGAGGGATGGGAGATGAGAGGGATGGGAGATGAGAGGGATGGGAGATGAGAGGGATGGGAGATGAGAGGGATGGGAGATGAGAGGGATGGGAGATGAGAGGGATGGGAGATGAGAGGGATGGGAGATGAGAGGGATGGGAGATGAGAGGGATGGGAGATGAGAGGGATGGGAGATGAGAGGGATGGGAGATGAGAGGGATGGGAGATGAGAGGGATGGGAGATGAGAGGGATGGGAGATGAGAGGGATGGGAGATGAGAGGGATGGGAGATGAGAGGGATGGGAGATGAGAGGGATGGGAGATGAGAGGGATGGGAGATGAGAGGGATGGGAGATGAGAGGGATGGGAGATGAGATGAGAGGGATGGGAGATGAGAGGGATGGGAGATGAGAGGGATGGGAGATGAGAGGGATGGGAGATGAGAGGGATGGGAGATGAGAGGGATGGGAGATGAGAGGGATGGGAGATGAGAGGGATGGGAGATGAGAGGGATGGGAGATGAGAGGGATGGGAGATGAGAGGGATGGGAGATGAGAGGGATGGGAGATGAGAGGGATGGGAGATGAGAGGGATGGGAGATGAGAGGGATGGGAGATGAGAGGGATGGGAGATGAGAGGGATGGGAGATGAGAGGGATGGGAGATGAGAGGGATGGGAGATGAGAGGGATGGGAGATGAGAGGGATGGGAGATGAGAGGGATGGGAGATGAGAGGGATGGGAGATGAGAGGGATGGGAGATGAGAGGGATGGGAGATGAGAGGGATGGGAGATGAGAGGGATGGGAGATGAGAGGGATGGGAGATGAGAGGGATGGGAGATGAGAGGGATGGGAGATGAGAGGGATGGGAGATGAGAGGGATGGGAGATGAGAGGGATGGGAGATGAGAGGGATGGGAGATGAGAGGGATGGGAGATGAGAGGGATGGGAGATGAGAGGGATGGGAGATGAGAGGGATGGGAGATGAGAGGGATGGAGATGAGAGGGATGGGAGATGAGAGGGATGGGAGATGAGAGGGATGGGAGATGAGAGGGATGGGAGATGAGAGGGATGAGAGGGATGGGAGATGAGAGGGATGGGAGATGAGAGGGATGGGGGATGAGAGGGATGGGAGATGAGAGGGATGGGAGATGAGAGGGATAAGTTATGAGAGGGATGGGAGATGAGAGGGATGGGAGATGAGAGGGATGGGAGATGAGAGGGATGGGAGATGAGAGGGATGGGAGATAACTGGGATGACATGGATGGAACAGTGATTGGCGTGCAGCAGCGGGCAGTGAGAGCAGCAGATCCCACCCCCCACGTTCCCCAGTCGCACCTGGCCCTTATCGAAGTCACAGACGCGGCCTGCTCGCAGCGAGTGCGCGTAGTCGCGCAGGAAGGTGTCGCGCACCCACCACTCGGGGCCCTGCCACCACCCCCACCACCACCACCACGCACCGCAACCATGGACGGGCGGGGAGAATGGTTCTTGGGTGAGCATAGCAGTGCGGGCGAGATGGTGGAGGGGGCGATTGGGAGGGAGGTGATGCGTACTTGGTATCAACAAGGCACTCATTCTTCACCCGCCCACCCTACCAGCAACACTCATAGCAGCTGCCTACCGTCCTGGAAGCCCCTGGTTGTGGTGGGGGGCGCACCTGGTCGTCGTTGAAGAGCTCGGAGCACCAGAGGGAGGGGTCGTTGAAGAGGTCCTGCAGGTGGTTGTACACCGCCTCCTCCGTGCGCACGTCCACCTCCGCCCCCTCGCCTCCCCCCGCCCGCGCCTCAAACGCCCCCACCACCTCCACCTGCCACACCGGCATTGGCACACACAGCGCACATGAGATGGTGAGGCGTGCGCTTTGCAGGTGTGGGGTGTGCACAGTGGTGATGGGGGGGGGCGATGGTGGGCGATGGGGCCCCGCCACTCTACACGTGCTGACATATGCGTTGCATGTTAGAGTGAATGGGGACAAGGCGAGTGTGCAAGTGCACTAGAGTCGCACAGCTGCCCATGCGCCCACCTCCCTTCATCCCTGGCCCACCTCCCTTCATCCCTGGCCCACCTCCCTTCATCCCTGGCCCACCTCCCTTCATCCCTGGCCCACCTCCCTTCATCCCTGGCCCACCTCCCTTCATCCCTGGCCCACCTCCCTTCATCCCTGGCCCACCTCCTTCATCCCTGGCCCACCTCCCTTCATCACGTGGGTGGGTGGCAATCACGTGGGTGGGTGGCAATCACGTGGGTGGGTGGCAATCACGTGGGTGGGTGGCAATCACGTGGGTGGGTGGCAATCACGTGGGTGGGTGGCAATCACGTGGGTGGGTGGCAATCACGTGGGTGGGTGGCAATCACGTGGGTGGGTGGCAATCACGTGGGTGGGTGGCAATCACGTGGGTGGGTGGCAATCACGTGGGTGGGTGGCAAAAACGTGGGTGGGTGGCAATCACGTGGGTGGTGGCAATCACGTGGGTGGGTGGCAATCACGTGGGTGGGCGGGCGGTACGGCGTGGCAGACCTTTCTGGGGTCGACGATGGGTTTGCGGTAGCCGGTCTCGCCGAGGCAGAGGTTGGCGTCGGGGAAGGCGGTGGTGTCGTGGCAGACAGGCCAGGGCCAGCGGAACACCATGCGCTCCATCCAGAACTTGCCCCCGCCCTGCTCGCCTGCAGGGAAGTCCAGCGAGCACTTGTTGGTGGACCACCACAGCGACCCCACCGTCACCACCGCAGCCTCTGAGTGCGCGCGCAGGAAGGCGGGCAGCGCGGCAGGCTGAGAGCCGGTGAAGAGGAACTCGTTGAGCTCCGCCGGCACCACCCACCTCGCCGTGTACCCCGCCCCCCACACACAGTCCTGCGCCGCCAAGCCCTGCCACACTCACGTGCAGCGGGAGAGCAGCGCATGATGAGGAACACTCAGATTGGAGGACTGACGGGATTGACAAGGAATGGCGATGGAGTGGAAAAAGAGAGGGAGATGTGAATTACGCTCATGGTGGGATGCGGGCGCACCGCACTCACCTTGCCCTGCCGCTGCAGGTCTCACCTTGCCCTGCCGCTGCAGGTCTCACCTTGCCCTGGCGGTGCAGGTCTCACCTTGCCCTGCCGGTGCAGGTCTCACCTTGCCCTGGCGGTGCAGGTCTCACCTTGCCCTGGCGGTGCACCTCTCACCTTGCCCTGGCGGTGCAGGTCTCACCTTGCCCTGCCGGTGCAGGTCTCACCTTGCCCTGGCGGTGCAGGTCTCACCTTGCCCTGGCGCTGCAGGTCTCACCTTGCCCTGGCGGTGCAGGTCTCACCTTGCCCTGCCGGTGCAGGTCTCACCTTGCCCTGCCGGTGCAGGTCTCACCTTGCCCTGCCGGTGCAGGTCTCACCTTGCCCTGCCGGTGCAGGTCTCACCTTGCCCTGGCGCTGCAGGTCTCACCTTGCCCTGGCGGTGCAGGTCTCACCTTGCCCTGCCGGTGCAGGTCTCACCTTGCCCTGGCGGTGCAGGTCTCACCTTGCCCTGCCGGTGCAGGTCTCACCTTGCCCTGGCGGTGCAGGTCTCACCTTGCCCTGCCGGTGCAGGTCTCACCTTGCCCTGGCGGTGCAGGTCATGGTCACGGCTGCCATGGAACGGCACCACCACCACCTCGCCGCGCTGCACCTGCCCGCCACCTGCTCCGCCATGCCGCCCTGCTGCCACGCCCCGTTGTCATACAGGACAACGCGTGCGGCCCCGGAGAGGCGGTAGAACTCGAGGAACTCGTGCAGGGAGTGCAGCGGCGCGGGGTGGGCGGGGTCGGGCGGCAGCGCGCACACCTGCACCTCCACCGCCAGGTCCAACGGCGGGTCCAGCGCCCCGTGCTCACTGGCACGCTCACTGTTGCGCGTGAGGACGAGGAAAGAATGGAGGGGAGGTGCAAAGTGATGATTAGGTATTGACACCCATGCATGCCCACAATGACACCCATGCATGCCCACAATGACACCCATGCATGCCCACAATGACACCCATGCATGCCCACAATGACACCCATGCATGCCCACAATGACACCCATGCATGCCCACAATGACACCCATGCATGCCCACAATGACAAGTACATGTGTCGTGCATGAGTACACATGCAGCGGGGCCGCGCCGCGGGTGGATGCTTCATTTCAACTCCAGCAAACCATGCAGCAAACCATGTGTGCACTGCATGCTGCACATCACACATAAAGGGCTGACTTATCTTTTCTCTAAAGGACTATCGTACCTGTAGAGCACAAAGGGCTGGCCGTCGATGGCGATGGTGAGGTGGCCGCCGGTGTTGGGCACATCAGCGTCAAAGGCAGCGGTGACGAGCATCTCCTGGTTGCGCCCGGGGTTGGCGGACAGCGAGTAGGTGATGCCCGCCACGCACGGCAGCACGCCCTCTGATGCCTGCCAGCTGGCGGGGTTGTGGCGAGGGCGCAGGGTGATGGACTAACGAGGTGTGCACACTGGCCGGGGGAAAGATGGATCATAATTGCGACACGTGTGCTCATGCGTACTGAGTGAAAGAGTCAAATAAAGAGGAGCGCAAGTGAGCACAGGCGTTGAGAGCAGGTGGCGGCAGGCAGTGCGGCAGGCAGTGCGGCAGGCACCTATCGCGCAGTTGCTCACCTGCACTTGCCCACGGTGCGCGTGTGCTGCAGGTCCGTGGGCCCAAACCCTACCGCTGCCAGCTTGCGCGCCCCCATGCGATACCCACTGCCAGAGCCACACACGCACATGGGCATGGCGCCACACAGGGGCACACACACAGGGAGGTGAGGCGGGCAGAGGAGGCTAGGGATTTCAGAGAGGTCCACGCGAACAGATGCATGGGGATGCACGGTGCGGTGATGCACGGTGCGGTGATGCACGGTGCGGTGATGCACGGTGCGAACTCGTGGTTGCACATGTGATGAATCAGAGGGCCTTGGCTGGCCTCGGGTGGGGCGGGTGGGGCGGGTGGGCAGGTGGGCGGGTGGGGTGGGTGGGCGGGTGGGCGGGTGGGGGCTAACCTGAAGCGAGTGAAGGAGGGCGAGCCTGCAAATGCATGCTGCGACCACTTGCTGGCGTCTGATGGGAGAGAGAGAGGGGCAAGTAAGAGAAGCGGGAGGAAGGGGGTGGTAGAGGTGGGTGGGAGGAGGGATGGATGTGGTGTGAGCGAGCAGGCACAAGTGGGACGTGTGTGCGCACGCATGAGCACCCACTTCCAGTCGGCAATTCCGGTTGAGGGTGGGACTCATGGAACGGTGGAATCACTCCGAGGGTCCATGTCAGGCGGCCGGCTCATGCCCAGCCCAGCACGCATCAAGTGACATGCGCATCAAGTGACACGCGCATCAAGTGACACGCGCATCAAGTGACACGCGCATCAAGTGACACGCGCATCAAGTGACACGCGCATCAAGTGACACGCGCATCAAGTGACACGCGCATCAAGTGACACGCGCATCAAGTGACACGCGCATCAAGTGACACGCGCATCAAGTGACACGTGCATTAAGTGCGTTGCACGGGGACACAGCAACGGGGATGCATAGAGTGAGAGGAGCACGTGCATGGTGAGAGCAGCACGTGCATGGTGTAGGTGAGAGCAGCACGTGCATGGTGTAGGTGAGAGCAGCACGTGCATGGTGTAGGTGAGAGCAGCACGTGCATGGTGTAGGTGAGAGCAGCACGTGCATGGTGTAGGTGAGAGCAGCACGTGCATGGTGTAGGTGAGAGCAGCACGCGCATGGTGTAGGTGAGAGCAGCACGCGCATGGTGTAGGTGAGAGCAGCACGTGCATGGTGTAGGTGAGAGCAGCACGTGCATGGTGTAGGTGAGAGCAGCACGTGCATGGTGTAGGTGAGAGCAGCACGCGCATGGTGTAGGTGTGAGCAGCACGCGCATGGTGTAGGTGAGAGCAGCACGCGCATGGTGTAGGTGAGAGCAGCACGTGCATGGTGTAGGTGAGAGTAGCACGTGCATGGTGCATGCTTGTGCACATGGACGTGTGCTTGTGCACATGGACGTGTGCTTGTGCACATGGACGTGTGCTTGTGCACATGGACGTGTGCTTGTGCAGCATGACACGCACAGCTTCACTAGGGCACACGACCCAAATGGTGTGCCCACCACCGCCGCCAACACCACCTCACCTGCCAGCAACACCACCTCACCTGCCAGCAACACCACCTCACCTGCCAGCAACAGCACCTCACCTGCCAGCAACACCACCTCACCTGCCAGCAACAGCACCTCACCTGCCAGATCTTCATTCCTCGATTGCTCCCCTTCATGCTGCCCCTGCTCGTGCTCCCCCTGCCCCTCCTGCTGCCCTCCTTCCCCCCTTTGTTGCTCCCTCTGCCCCTCCTGCTGCTCCCTCTGCCCCTCCTGCTGCCCCCCTTCCCCCCCCTGTTGTTCGCCCTGCCCCTCCTGCGCTTGCCCCCCGCCCTGCTGCCCGCCCTCCATGCCGCCGATCACCGCCTCAGCCGCCTGCAGCACGTCCCCTCCGCCCTGCGCCTCCGCTGCCACCGCCCTCTCCAGCCGCGCCACGTCGCCATCCGCCTGCCCCGCGCCCCCGCCGCCCACGTGGGCCTCCATGTGGGCGAGGCGGTCATCGAGGGACACGAGCAGCTTGCCCTGCTGTCGCACGGCCAGCACCAGGTCGTGCAGTGCCTCGTGCGTCTTGTGCGCCAGCTGCAGCATGTCCGCCCCGCGGCTCGCCTCCAGCATGGCCTGCAGCTCCGCCACCGCCTCGCTCTGCCGCTGCACCTCCCTCACCACCACCGCCATGCCCGTCTGCGTCTCCGTCACCGCCGCCACCACCACCGACGCCTCACCCGCCCCCACTCCACCCGCACCACCCGCGCCAGCGGCAGAGGCGGCAAGGGCGGTGGCGTCGGCGGTGGCGAGGGCGGCGGCGGGCAGGGAGGTGGAGGGCAGCACGCGCGTCTCGAGGCTGGCGATGCGCGTGCCCAGCTTCGCCACGATGGCCGTCTGCGCGCGCACGGCGCGCAGCAGGCTGAGGAATGCTGTCTTGTTGCGCACCTCGCCCACCAGCGCCCCCACCACCCCCTCCATGCGCCTCTGCGCTCCATGCCCCGCACACACACGCACCGCAGGCAGACAGAGGGGCAGGGCGGCAAGTGGAGGGTCGAGAGGAAATGGGTAAGCGAGAGGAAACGGGGAAAGGAAGGGGGAGGATGGGACAGAGGTAGAAGCAGTGAGTGGGGAGTGACGAAAGTGAGCGGGTTGTTGATGCCAGTGAGCGTGGACACACGGCGCATCTAATTGGGAAACCACGCGCGCATACGTGTTGGCTTATCGTGTAATCTACTGCTTGTTCTGATTATACGCTACAAGTCATGCAATGCAATGCAACAGTAAGTGCCACCAACTTGTACGATCGCATCGTTGATTCTTCCCAAACCATCTTAGCCAATTAACTAACAACATCGAATCCCACTCTTTTATCTATCCCAACCCAACCCTCTCCAGACTCTGCAGTGAACGAGTTACGAATGTGAGGAAGCTTAGAATAGATTATGTATCTCACGCACCACCTCCTCTCCTCTATCACTCACCACCTCCTCTCTCTGACTTGCCTGCCACTCTCCCTCACTAGCCCTTCCCCATGAGCAGCCCTCCTCCACCCGTCCACCACCCCAACCTCCTCGTCCCCCCCACCCCCACCAGCAACCGTTCCCCCGCCCCCACCTGGCCCTGCAGCAGCGCGTCGGAGAGCCCCGCCTTCTCCTTGGCGCGCAGATGCGCCACCAGCGCCTTCAGCACCGCCAGGATCTTCTCCTCCTGCCGCCCACACCGCCACCCATGCCCCCGCCCCACACACCGCAGGCAGAGAGCGGTGTGAGAGCAGAGATGGGAGTGGAGAAGAGAATGACGAGGCATGTGCATACAGAGAGGAGGAGGTGAGTGAGAGACAAGAGTTGGTCAGCACTCGCTCTTGCTGTGCCACACGATGCCACATAAGTTGCCACATGCTGCCACATCAGCTGCCACATCAGCTGCCACATGCTGCCACATCAGCTGCCACATCAGCTGCCACATGCTGCCACATCAGCTGCCACATCAGCTGCCACATGCTGCCACATCAGCTGCCACAAGTGTCTCTTGCCAGCCATGCCAGTCATCTCGTGTCTCTGTGCTTCCCTCGCTGCATGCACCCCTGCATCTGCTCCACTCCACACCACACGCACCTGCGGGGTGCCATCTCACCTGCGGGGTGCCATCTCACCTGCGGGGTGGCCTCGCCCCCTTTGAGCTGTGCCTGCGCATCCACCCGCTCCGCCAACCCCTCCACCGCACTCTGCCCCTCCCCACCCAGCAGTGCGCCCCACGCGCCATGCACAGCGAGAGGCACGTAGGGAAGGAGAGAGGAGTGATGGGATGGGAGCAGCGGGGGGATAGTGGCACTTGAGGTGGAGGAGTGGGGAGAGGGAAGGCAGATCAAGGGATGCGTGCTTCAATTTTGGAGCTACGGCAAGGGAAGGGAAGGAGTGGCAGGGAGGGCACTGGCAGCGGCGCACCTGCAGCGAGCGCGAGAGCTGCAATTGCTTCTTGACTCACCTGCAGCGAGCGCGAGAGCTGCATGTGTTTCTTGACGGCCGACACCACCTCCCTCAGCGTCTCCGTGCCCAGCCCCCCCTCCTCGTCCTGCCACCACCGCCCACCGCAGCACATCCAATGGCACGGTATGTTATGGCACAGCAGGCAGGGGCATGGCGCGTGTGACATGAATGGCATGGCGCGTGTGACATGAATGGCATGGCGCGTGTGACATGAATGGCATGGCGCGTGTGACATGAATGGCATGGCGCGTGTGACATGAATGGCATGGCGCGGGTGACATGAATGGCATGGCGCGTGTGACATGAATGGCATGGCGCGTGTGACATGAATGGCATGGCGCGTGTGACATGAATGGCATGGCGCGGGTGACATGAATGGCATGGCGCGTGTGACATGAATGGCATGGCGCGTGTGACATGAATGGAATGGCGCGTGTGACATGAATGGCATGGCGCGTGTGACATGAATGGCATGGCGCGTGTGAAATGAATGGCATGGCGAGTGTGACATGAATGGCATGGCGCGAGTGACATGAATGGCATGGCGCGTGTGACATGAATGGCATGGCGCGTGTGACAAGAATGGCATGGCGCGTGTGACACGAATGGCATGGCGCGTGTGACATGAATGGCATGGCGCGTGTGACATGAATGGCATGGCACGGGTGACATGAATGGCATGGCGCGTGTGACATGAATGGCATGGCGCGTGTGACATGAATGGCATGGCGCGTGTGACATGAATGGCATGGCGCGTGTGACATGAATGGCATGGCGCGTGTGACATGAATGGCATGGCGCGTGTGACATGAATGGCATGGCGCGTGTGACATGAATGGCATGGCGCGTGTGACATGAATGGCATGGCGCGGGTGACATGAATGGCATGGCGCGTGTGACATGAATGGCATGGCGCGTGTGACATGAATGGCATGGCGCGTGTGACATGAATGGCATGGCGCGGGTGACATGAATGGCATGGCGCGGGTGACATGAATGGCATGGCGCGTGTGACATGAATGGCATGGCGCGTGTGACATGAATGGCATGGCGCGTGTGACATGAATGGCATGGCGCGTGTGACATGAATGGCATGGAGCGTGTGACATGAATGGCATGGCGCGTGTGACATGAATGGCATGGCGCGTGTGACATGAATGGCATGGCGCGTGTGACATGAATGGCATGGCGCGTGTGACATGAATGGCATGGCGCGTGTGACATGAATGGCATGGCGCGTGTGACATGAATGGCATGGCGCGTGTGACATGAATGGCATGGCGCGTGTGACAGGAATGGCATGGCGCGTGTGACATGAATGGCATGGCGCGTGTGACATGAATGGCATGGCGCGTGTGACATGAATGGCATGGCGCGTGTGACATGAATGGCATGGCGCGTGTGACATGAATGGCATGGCGCGTGTGACATGAATGGCATGGCGCGTGTGACATGAATGGCATGGCGCGTGTGACATGAATGGCATGGCGCGTGTGAAATGAATGGCATGGCGCGTGTGACATGAATGGCATGGCGCGTGTGACATGAATGGCATGGCGTGTGTGACATGAATGGCATGGCGCGGGTGACATGAATGGCATGGCGCGTGTGAAATGAATGGCATGGCGCGTGTGACATGAATGGGATGGCGCGTGTGACATGAATGGCATGGCGCGTGTGACATGAATGGCATGGCGCGGGTGACATGAATGGCATGGCGCGTGTGACATGAATGGCATGGCGCGTGTGACATGAATGGCATGGCGCGGGTGACATGAATGGCATGACGCGTGTGACATGAATGGCATGGCGCGTGTGACATGAATGGAATGGCGCGTGTGACATGAATGGCATGGCGCGTGTGACATGAATGGCATGGCGCGTGTGAAATGAATGGCATGGCGAGTGTGACATGAATGGCATGGCGCGTGTGACATGAATGGCATGGCGCGTGTGACATGAATGGCATGGCGAGTGTGACATGAATGGCATGGCGCGTGTGACATGAATGGCATGGCGCGTGTGACATGAATGGCATGGCGCGTGTGACATGAATGGCATGGCGCGTGTGACAAGAATGGCATGGCGCGTGTGACATGAATGGCATGGCGCGGGTGACATGAATGGCATGGCGCGTGTGAAATGAATGGCATGGCGCGTGTGACATGAATGGGATGGCGCGTGTGACATGAATGGCATGGCGCGTGTGACATGAATGGCATGGCGTGTGTGACATGAATGGCATGGCGCGGGTGACATGAATGGCATGGCGCGTGTGAAATGAATGGCATGGCGCGTGTGACATGAATGGGATGGCGCGTGTGACATGAATGGCATGGCGCGTGTGACATGAATGGCATGGCGCGGGTGACATGAATGGCATGGCGCGTGTGACATGAATGGCATGGCGCGTGTGACATGAATGGCATGGCGCGTGTGACATGAATGGCATGGCGCGGGTGACATGAATGGCATGACGCGTGTGACATGAATGGCATGGCGCGTGTGACATGAATGGAATGGCGCGTGTGACATGAATGGCATGGCGCGTGTGACATGAATGGCATGGCGCGTGTGAAATGAATGGCATGGCGAGTGTGACATGAATGGCATGGCGCGTGTGACATGAATGGCATGGCGCGTGTGACATGAATGGCATGGCGAGTGTGACATGAATGGCATGGCGCGTGTGACATGAATGGCATGGCGCGTGTGACATGAATGGCATGGCGCGTGTGACATGAATGGCATGGCGCGTGTGACAAGAATGGCATGGCGCGTGTGACATGAATGGCATGGCGCGGGTGACATGAATGGCATGGCGCGTGTGACATGAATGGCATGGCGCGTGTGACATGAATGGCATGGCGCGTGTGACATGAATGGCATGGCGCGGGTGACATGAATGGCATGACGCGTGTGACATGAATGGCATGGCGCGTGTGACATGAATGGCATGGCGCGTGTGAAATGAATGGCATGGCGAGTGTGACATGAATGGCATGGCGCGTGTGACATGAATGGCATGGCGCGTGTGACATGAATGGCATGGCGAGTGTGACATGAATGGCATGGCGCGTGTGACATGAATGGCATGGCGCGTGTGACATGAATGGCATGGCGCGTGTGACATGAATGGCATGGCGCGTGTGACAAGAATGGCATGGCGCGTGTGACATGAATGGCATGGCGCGGGTGACATGAATGGCATGGCGCGTGTGAAATGAATGGCATGGCGCGTGTGACATGAATGGGATGGCGCGTGTGACATGAATGGCATGGCGCGTGTGACATGAATGGCATGGCGCGGGTGACATGAATGGCATGGCGCGTGTGACATGAATGGCATGGCGCGTGTGACATGAATGGCATGGCGCGTGTGACATGAATGGCATGGCGCGTGTGACATGAATGGCATGGCGCGGGTGACATGAATGGCATGGCGCGGGTGACATGAATGGCATGGCGCGTGTGACATGAATGGCATGGCGCGTGTGACATGAATGGCATGGCGCGTGTGACATGAATGGCATGGCGCGTGTGACATGAATGGCATGGAGCGTGTGACATGAATGGCATGGCGCGTGTGACATGAATGGCATGGCGCGTGTGACATGAATGGCATGGCGCGTGTGACATGAATGGCATGGCGCGTGTGACATGAATGGCATGGCGCGTGTGACATGAATGGCATGGCGCGTGTGACAGGAATGGCATGGCGCGTGTGACATGAATGGCATGGCGCGTGTGACATGAATGGCATGGCGCGTGTGACATGAATGGCATGGCGCGTGTGACATGAATGGCATGGCGCGTGTGACATGAATGGCATGGCGCGGGTGACACGAATGGCATGGCGCGTGTGACATGAATGGCATGGCGCGTGTGACATGAATGGAATGGCGCGTGTGACATGAATGGCATGGCGCGTGTGACATGAATGGCATGGCGCGTGTGAAATGAATGGCATGGCGAGTGTGACATGAATGGCATGGCGCGTGTGACATGAATGGCATGGCACGTGTGACATGAATGGCATGGCGCGTGTGACATGAATGGCATGGCGCGTGTGACAAGAAATGGCATGGCGCGTGTGACACGAATGGCATGGCGCGTGTTACATGAATGGCATGGCGCGTGTGACAGGAATGGCATGGCGCGTGTGACATGAATGGCATGGCGCGTGTGACATGAATGGAATGGCGCGTGTGACATGAATGGCATGGCGCGTGTGACATGAATGGCATGGCGCGTGTGAAATGAATGGCATGGAGCGTGTGACATGAATGGCATGGCGCGTGTGACATGAATGGCATGGCGCGTGTGACATGAATGGCATGGCGCGTGTGAAATGAATGGCATGGAGCGTGTGACATGAATGGCATGGCGCGTGTGACATGAATGGCATGGCGCGTGTGACATGAATGGCATGGCGCGTGTGACATGAATGGCATGGCGCGTGTGACATGAATGGCATGGCGCGTGTGACATGAATGGCACCATGCTCACAACTCTGGCGCCACATTCACATCCCTGTAGCCATACGCTACTCACATCCCTGAGGCCATGCTCTAGTCACATCCCTGTAGCCATGCTCTACTCACATCCCTGTAGCCATGCTCTACTCACATCCCTGTAGCCATGCTCTACTCACATCCCTGTAGCCATGCTCTACTCACATCCCTGTAGCCATGCTCTACTCACATCCCTGTAGCCATGCTCTACTCACATCCCTGTAGCCATGCTCTACTCACATCCCTGTAGCCATGCTCTACTCACATCCCTGTAGCCATGCTCTACTCACATCCCTGTAGCCATGCTCTACTCACATCCCTGTAGCCATGCTCTACTCACATCCCTGTAGCCATGCTCTACTCACATCCCTGTAGCCATGCTCTACTCACATCCCTGTAGCCATGCTCTACTCACATCCCTGTAGCCATGCTCTACTCACATCCCTGTAGCCATGCTCTACTCACATCCCTGTAGCCATGCTCTACTCACATCCCTGTAGCCATGCTCTACTCACATCCCTGTAGCCATGCTCTACTCACATCCCTGTAGCCATGCTCTACTCACATCCCT